GATTTAATATATAAATAATTGATAAATAAACTAGTAATTGTTAAAGCTAAAGTGAAACATGCACTATACAAGGTAAAGATACTGGCCACCTTGTATGCCACAGAGTCTCACACGGTAAATTTGTTTCTATAATGGCTCTAATCTGGCCCCAAATCTGTGGTTAAAGTTACTACTTCAAGCATGGGATTAAGGTGAGGTTGTGTAACAGCCTGAGTGGGATCAGTGACAACGAGTATTGTCAACTTGCCTCAACCAGGCTGTCCTACAAAGAAGCTGACAATAGAGCTCATAATATTTTACGGTATCACTGCACCTCATCTTGCCATTCCTGTTTTTTTCTCCTATCCTTGAACGAGTTCACTTTGCGTCCCAGGCATTATGGCCTGTTTTAAAATGATTTTAAATGCTGTAGTACGCACAGGTCACTCATTCGAACGGTGCACTCGCAATGTAAAGGTCAGGTCAGGTCAAAAACGACATTCTGAATTTATAGCTCAGCAAGGATTATTGAATCGTAGCTCTTATAAATGTGACCATGATCCCAAAGTCACAATTGATTTTCTGACCATCAGCTGTTCCAGACTAGTGAAGCAGTGGAAAAGACATTAAATGATTTGTTTCCTATACAAAAAAAAATGAACGGAAGAAGTTGAGCGCATTTCTTTACTGTCCCACAAGAGGAATTCCTTTTTGCAGTATAAAGACAAAATCATAAAACATAAAGATTAAAATCCAAATGAGACAATTGAAGACAATAAAAGCATGAAATCTGTAATAGGTGGCAAAATGTTTCACTTCTGTTAACTGTGAAACATTTTGAGAAATAGAGAAGCCACGAGACTGTACTGTAGCTGTAAAGGAGAGCTGTACAGTAGGCCCTCACATTTCTCTTGAGGTTAGACGGTGGGAGGAGGGTGGTGGTGCTGGTGGTGGGGTCCTGGGCTCTATTTCCATGGCAACAGGTCTTCATGTGGAATAACAGCTGTGGCACAGAGTGTTATGGCGTCTTTGGCCCACCGCCCAGCAGCCCCCCCCCCGTCCTCTTCATGTCTCGTCCTTTACTTTCTGCCCCAGTCCACCATAAGCTGCTGCACACTCTGTGAATCTTATTACACGCTGACGAACAAAACACTGGGGCCCTGGCGACCGAGGAAGCTCCCTGATTGGCCGGCGGGAGGCGGGCCTGCAACTGCGCGTGCACACCCATGGAGACGTCTTACATAAGAGGCAAGGTCTCCCTTACTAGAGAGAGAAAACCAAGGAAAAAGTTCACATTTTGTCACATGCTTCTTTGTCTCTCTCTCAAAACACCACCGCCCACCAGAGCCTCTTCTTGGAAAGCTTCTGTGAGGCGCACACATGTTCAGTCACATTCACATACAAAAAATTTAAAACAACTGGGGAATGTTTTGTCCCTGGAATAGGCTACGTGCACATTTCCTTGCACATGTGGCCACATTTGTTGTAACTTCTGAAAGATATATGTTAGTTTTTAGTCATGCATTAGTCCACATCGAAGCTACTCTGTTATTTAAGACACTTAGACACAGCTAAATGTCAGCAAAAAGGCACTCTGTTCCCCCACAGTAGGAAAACTGCATTAGAGATATATTTAGAACACTGCAAATCCAATGCAAATATTGATTTTCATTTGCAATTCCAACATTGCTACCAAGCGCCTGAAGGTAGAAGAACAGCAATCTTGAATATGAGGGAGAACAGAAATACATTTTAAAAGAACTTTAACAACAGAAAGTTACCATCACAGGCAGCTGTAACATAAACACAAATGGTGTGGCCTGTTTGTTGTCTTGTCTTTCTTTATGAACTGAACTTCATTAAAATGTTTAAAAACTATTTTAAAACAACTAAAAATGCATTTTTTTGCATTCAAAGCTACTCTAAACACTTTTGTAGTCATGCTAGTAAGCATGACTAAGTCAATTTCCTTGAGGTGTTAACACTGTTTTGTTTCCCCCTGTTATACAAGCAGCAAAATCTTAGGAAAACAAAGATAATATTGTTTGTACAACGTCTGTGAGAACAGTGTGAAATAATTCCTACTGGTGGAGTCACAGAGATGAATGTGAAAAAGCCTGTGCACGAGTTCTCGTTTGTCGAGATTCGTAATGAGCAAATTATAATTTTTCATTCCAACCGGAGAGCACACCTGCAGCTCTATTTGCACACATTCACAGAGGAGAAGTGCTGATTTGTGTCGTTAGCTCATGAAGTGTTTGTGCGTGCTCTTCACTCTCAGTGGCTCATGATTGAGACCAAATGGAAAATGCACCTCACCATACTTACCACTGAATTTAGCTGAATGAAGTGAATCTCTGGGTGCACTCAGGCAGTCCGTCTCCCCTCTGTGCTCTTTCTCTCTCCGCCGCACAACTGAGAAACAAAACCAAACAAGGTCACCCAGAACAGCTGCAATTACTGTCAGAGAGAAATTGAAGAAAGGCTATCAAGTGTGTAGTGAAGGACATCGCTGTCCTCAGGGTTAGAGTTTATGATCCTGTTCAGTGAGGAATATACAGCAGCTTCGGTTTAGTGCATTTATTGACGTGCTGAGGAGGACACTTTTCTCATCTGGGTTAAATACTTCCATCAGCATATGTACCTGCTTGCAATATTAACTTCTTAACTCTAGTAAATCATATTGGGGATATAAATGTATATATTTCACACACACTGGAGAATATTTGAACAACAGATGCTATCATTTGAGTCTGTCTGTCTGAAGGAAATACATGGTGAGATTTAACTACCCAAAATGTACACTATAAATATTGTTTCATATCAAACTCACTGATCATCCACATCTAGTGTTAAAACGTGTCATCAACTTACATTTTCACCCTCAGTGTTAAAACAAAAATAGCAGGTCAGTGAAATAACACCTTCTGGTATTTGTCATTACGAGTCCACATTGAAAACTGCAATGTAATTTAATCTGTACTGGACAATGAAGGCTGCACCTGCACAAGTACAATTCACAAAACAGGAGTTCCAGCTGGAGGAGTCGCTGTGTCTGTAAAACTGTATAAGACAAAGGGTTTCAAGCTTGAACTTTAAATTGCAGCTTTAACCTTAAATTACATAGCACCGTACAGTACGCTAATAGTGACGAGTAAAGCAGGTTCACACTTACATTGTGTAAAATGGTATCCTGACATCATGTTTTTCCCAATTTTCCACATATGCACATCCCAACACTTCTTCAACTCTTCTTCAAGTCTTATAATGCCTTGTGTTACTTTTGGTTTGGACACACAGAGTTATTCATGGGATATATTACAGGTTTAAGCTGCCAACAGCATGAGCTCAGACCTTCACACGTTGCCTCTTTACACAGTCATATTTTCTCCTTTCTGCACTCAGACAATTCTGGTTTCAACCTGTTCAGAAATGCTGTAAATGCAATTTGACTTTTTTTTTGCTGACGATTCCAACAGCCGCATCAATAAAGGTCAAATTCAGGTCTCTTTGTCATTTAGTCATTTGTAAGTGATATCCATGTAATGCACCACAGCTTGCATAACCCGTGACCCAATAAGGCCACTTGGTTCCTTTTAAAGCATTAAACCAAAAGGGAATTCAAATGTTAATCGATCTAAAACGCTTTTAGTAAAGACAGACAGAGATATACGTTATACAGACAGACTGTGAGGACATTTTGTACCCAAATGTTTGTCAGGACACCCTCTCCACTGCCCTGAGATAACATCACCTGCAGTTTGTTTATGTAAAAGAGTCAAGATGAACTTGTTAGAGATAAAATTTCCTCTTCATGTTGTGATGGTAATGACAACACAAAACAGGCAGGGGTATTTGGAAAAGGGTTTTATTTGTCAAAGCTTGTTGTGATTGAAAGGACAGACAAAACCTGCTAAGACTACATAGAAACCAATTCCAGCATTTCTTTTACAAAATTTTGAAAATACAGAAACCACCAAATGTGGCTGAACATAAATGTGGCAGACAGTGTCACATTTCCCTTTTGTGGCAAAATAATTCCCGCAGAGTTGATGAAAAAAAAAAACATCATAAAAGTGGACAGGAACACTTAGAAACAAGAAGTGTTAAGAAAAGCTTTCACTTGAAGCTCCCACATATTTAACATCAACAGACAGAATAAATAATGTTACGTGGAATAAACAGAAGAACAATTCTTAAGAATTATCACTCCACAATGCTCAAAATACAGATGCACTGTATCAGAAACCGCCCCTGCAGGTGATTAGGCTCATTTACTTGTCAGTAATTTTAAGACACAAATCTGTCTAAAGTGCATCAAAAGGACACAACTTGTGTATTTGTACACCCACTTGATTTCATCCCCAGGAGCTTTTACGCCCTTGATACCTGATTTTTGACAATCCTTGGAAATTTAGCAGAAAACAATTTCTGAAACAATTTCCGATTTGGATTTCCAAAGAATAAACGTGTAGGAACGCTTACGAATACACAATGCAACATTCTCAGTTTGTTAAATTGATTTGAAGAAAACATTGCAAAAATTTGCGCAATTCATCAACATGCAATTCACCTTCTTTTTCATCCAAACAAGTCCAGTTCACAGGCCATGATGTTATCCCTGATAAGGCTGACAACTTTCTGCTGACAGACTGCTCTTCACCCAGTCTCAAAGGAGAAGGGGGGGGGGAGAGAGAGAGAGAGAGAGAGAGA